GAAGTATGCTCTATGCAGCAGAGCGTTGCACCAGGAGACCTCCGCAGGTAACATTTCTGAAATGTTAACTTTTAACACTATACTCACAGGAAAATCCCACCCCCTCATCATGGTTTGATTTGTTTTCTGTGAAGCTTTGTACTGAGAAAGGTCCATGTTTTCTCGTTCCCTTCTTCCCCTTCCCCTCCTCCATCTGTCCATTTCAGCTTTCGCAGACAACCGTCCGCCAGGGTGGAGGATCCCTCGTGGGGTGCGATCGAGCTTCCAAACCCAACAGACCTGGTGGGCGCAAGCTATCCCAATCTAGAAAGGGGAAGGAGCTGATGGGGGAGGGGGGGGACTGTGGGAAGTTCTGGGAGTTGAAATCCACAAATCTTTAAACGGCCAAATGGCTGCCCATGCTGCTGCTGGCCTCTTTGCCCTCCTGGCAGTGTTGCTATTGGCAGCGCTGCAGGACTGCTCCTGCCTGGCCAGGTTGAATCATTGCAGATTTAAAACCTCCTGAGTGGCGCCAGCCTGCCAGGACCCCTTCGCAAATGGCCACTGGTGGAGTCATGCCACCTCCCCCGCTGCCATCCCCTGCACAGCCGGAATGAGAGTTGCAGCGCCTGTCAAGGTCCGAAAAGCACTGGACTCAGTGTAGCAGCATGGGGCCTGCCGCAGTCGAGAAGTGTCCCAGCAGTGGTTGGGCCACCAAGCAGGGTGGGTGACAAGTTCTCCACCAGCCAGGCACTGAAGCTCTGCCACTGCCACTGCCACTCGGGGAGCGGGGGAGAGATCCGATCCAACTTCAGAGGGCAAGAAGTTGGAATTGATTGAACTTTTTTTACAGTAGTCCCACAAACTTGTTTTCCTGCGCACAATGATGAGAAATGCAAGGGAGCTGGAAATTGGGTACTGGAAATCGGGTACTGAGGCGGGGTGGGGGGGGAGCCAATTCAGACAGGCCGCATGGCTTTCTGCCTCACTGCAGCAGTAGACTGAGCAACACCCGAGCTCCAGGCCTGGCAGAGCACAAACCATGGTCGCTGCCTGCTCCATAGCCACAAGGCGAGCTGCGGAACATAGGGGCCCTCAGCTACCAGGTTGCCTGGTGCCATGGGCAGGGCAAGTGTGCACCGGAAACATCTCCAGGCGCCCGGAGAGACAAAACTCCCGGCCCTCGCTGGCTCAGCTGATCCGTGGGCCATAGTTAAAGGGCCGAGCAGCCATGAGTTGACCATGCTCACCGCCTCCTGCACCTCAAAAAAAAAAGACCTTCCCAAAAAGAAGGCCTAGCCGGGTTTTTTTGGGGGGGGTGTCAAAAGAAAATAAGACCCGGTCTTATTTTCAGGAAAACACAGTATAATCCGTTAGATTTTTCCCATTACTTTATAAATAACTCAAGGTGTCAAACAAACCTAATACTTCTTCCTCTTCCTATTTTCCCCACAACAACCCTATAAGGTAGGTTGGCCTGAGTGTGACTGGCTTTCATGCCTAAGATAGAACTAGAATTCAGTCTCTTTGTTTCTAGGCCAGCACCTTAATCACTACCCCAAAGTGGCTCTCTTAATAAATTATTTATGATCCAGAACTCAACCTTTAGATGCATAATAGTGGATTATGCGTCCAGCTTTAACTTAGAAGAAAATAATATTCAGCTATCAGACATATCACAAAAACTGTCCTAAAGTCTGATTTATCTTAGCACCACAGTATGAAACAAAATTGGACCAAATATGTTGTCTGTTTTTCAACTAGAAACTAAATCAGTAGTAAAGCCTAGGAAAAAACATAATAAAATTTATCTAATACTAAAATGTATAGCCTAAATGTATTAAGTGTGCATTAATTACCAGTGAAGAAACTGAGATATACTGGAAACAAAAATAAAGTTGTGTTGTGCAGCCACCAATTTTGGGGAGTACCTCTAGTAGTTGTACTCTGTGAGATTTATTTCTAATTAAACATGCATGTCTCACAATTAAGCAGAACCAACTTCTTCCTTAAGGAAGTGTTATATGCCAATTTACCTTCAACTCTCTGACACAGAATCAAAATTCCCAAATACATAATTTAAGTTATAAATTGCTATACTAACTGGAATTGGGGAATTGTAGTCTTAAGACATCTTCCCCTATTTTTGGGAAAAACCACACTTAAAAATGCTCAATCACTCAAGCCCCGATCCTTTCATGCCTGCACTACTGCAATGCAGACTATACGGGGTTACCTTTGAAGAGTATTCAGAAATTACAACTAGTGCAGAATGAGGCAGGCAGGGTTTTTTTGGGGGGAGGGGGCATAGGTTGGCCCATGTTAGTGAATGCTAGCTTGAATCCAGGTACAATTCAAGGTGATGGTTATCACCTTTACAGCCCTTCATGACATGGGCCCAGGTTCTCTGAGGAACCACCCATGCCGGCAGAAAAGGCATACTGCGAGCCCCGATTGGCCAAAGATTTTCAGCTGACAGGATCCAGAAGAGCCGTTTCTGCTATAATGCTTGCACTGTAGAATGATGTACACCCACCACCATCCCACTCCCTCAGATGTGATCCATGCCCTCTCTTCTGGCTTCCCAAAAGGGCCTGAAGATTTGGCTCTGCCAGTTGACCCCCAATGGGGATGCACCACTTGAAGGTGGCCATCGGATTAAGAGAAGGTCTCACCTCTCCATGTACATTGTGCTGCTTTCCTCCTCACCTTTCAATTGTAAATTTCATAATCAATAGTAATAGTAATATTACTAATAAATTGTTTTAATGTTTTCCAGTTTTTAGTGTTTGTAAGCCTCCCCAAGTTACTTCTAGTCAACATGGCGGCACACACAAATCTAATAAACAAAACATTTTGTTACCGATAAAGGCAAATATTTGTAACTTAATATTTGTTGAAATGGGTTTGTGTGTGTGTGTTTCCTTGATACTCTCTTGAGTTTGCTTATTTTCTTGCAGACGTTTCCTTTACCCTAACTAGGTAATCCTCATTGGTGCTAGTATGGAGTGTTGTTTGCTATCAGGTTACATTGTACACAATTTTCAAATTCAGTTCAAATCTTTATTGTCAGTGCACAACATATGTACAATGAGATTGGTTGAGCTCCCTCAGTGCACCCCCCTAAAGTAGGACGTAAAGTGAGATTTGGACATAAGAGTAAAATGATACGGGGTTGGTTTGGATGACTTCTAAAGGTCCCTTCACCTAGATATTGTAAGAGACATTTTCTGAGTTCAAACTGTCAAACCACTGAGTCGGCTAGCTTTCTCACCTCTGAGGCAAAGCGTAGAAGCTAAAACCACATCAGTCAATATGAAACTAGGATTTCTTGCATGATACCTGTGTCTCAGATGCAAGATATAATCAGCTTCTTTGCCAGTGGGAATGATCTAACATATTTCTGTGTTTTGCTGCTTTTGAAGACTATAAGAATGCTTGTCTTAATCAGAACTTGTTCAGATGTTAGATGGCTATCTTTTCTGTCTGAACCTTTGGCCAAAATAAAGCTTCTCTTGATCTCGAAGTCTGAGTCCTTTGATTTTCTGCAACACCCCCACAACACAATACAACTCACCCCCCCCCACAACACAATACAACTCACAGTGAATCAGAAAACCCCCTAACCCAATAAATCATATTAACAAAACACCCAGTCCTATTGCATTAGTGTGAACATGCTGCACATTGCGCTGGTCCTGCAAGTCCATCGTACTACGTAGTTATCAGAGGTGGGCTTCAGCAGGTTCTGACCAATTCTGGAGAACTGGTAGCGGAAATTTTGAGTAGTTCGGAGAACCAGTAGTAAAAATTCTGACTGGCCCCGCCCCCATCTATTCTCTGCCTCTCAAGTCCCAGCTGATCGGGAGGAAATGGGGATTTTGCAATATCCTTCCCCTGGAGTGGGGTGGGAATGGAGATTTTACGGTATCCTTCCCTTGCCACGCCCACCAAGCCATGCCACGCCCACCAAGCCACACCCAAGAACTGGTAGTAAAAAAATTTGAAACCCACCAGTGGTAGTTACGATATTATTTTGCATTCAGGAGTCTGACAGCCCACAGATAAAAACTGTCCTTCCGCCTGTTTGTGCGGCTGGCTATGCTTCTATATCTTCTTCCCGATGGTACTAGGAGGGTAAAGAAGTGGCGACCAGGGTGGGAGTCGTCCCTGAGAATTTTCCTCAGGGAAAATTGTAAGTTTTGTTTTTTGTAGTTAGCGTCTACAAACACATTATCGCCATTTTAGTGTTATTTCCAGGAAGAACAGAAAGAGAGGGGGAGAACAGACCCAAAGGAATAACACTCCCCCCCCCACACACACTTCTTTTATTAGATATGCGAAGGATGGCACTGTGACAGCTGTATGTTGTGAGAGACTGGTGGATTATTCCCTTCCAAACGGCCATCTGCCACATAAAAAGACCACTGCTTTCTCTCTTGGAACTACAATTCCCAGCATCCCTCATCACTGTCTGCGCTGCTCGAGCTGTTAAAACAGGTCTTCAAACTTGGCCGCTTTAAGACTTGTGGACTTCAACTCCCAGAATTCTCCAGTCAGCTATGCTATGCTGTGCTGGCTGGAGAATTCTGGGAGTTGAAGTCCACAAGTCTTAAAGCGGCCAAGTTTGAAGACCTCTGCTGTTAAAAGAGTTGTAGTTCAATCTCATCTGAAGGCTTGATGCGCTTTGGCGACCTCGAGGAAAAGCTGAGTAGAAGCGGCTGAGATGAGCAGAACCAACCCCTCGCCATTTCGGATCAGGGACACCTCGCAAGACTGGCCTCCGTAGTCTATGTCGGCCCAAATCAAGAAGCTAACCCACAACGCCCATAACCCACCGCGGAAAAGTAAGGCTACGGGAAGTTGTTCGCATAACTTCCTGCTCCCACAACCCCGATTCCTCGGGGCCGTAATATTCAAGACGTTAAGCGCTTCTTATACAACGCCCATCCTTTCGGGAAACGATACACAAACTCCGCTCTCCAAAAGGAGGGAGGGGGGGAAAGAGAGGGAAGCATTACCCACAATGCTTTGCTTGTCCGGGTTCGCTTCGGCCGTTTCCGCTTCCTCACCTCCTCGGCCTCTTCCCCGCAGCTATAGCAACCCGAACCGTCCTCATTTCTTGTCCCGCGTCCACCCCTCCGAAGCTCGCTTGGGGGACGAAAGCAGCCGCGCGCGTCTCGACCAATCACCAGAGGGGCCTCGTGGGAGAGGATCCAATCAGCGAAGACGTCGTGTTAGCCCGTACAACGTAAGAGGACGCTCTTTTCCCTTCGCCGCGTCAAAAAGGAGGAAGGACGGAAATTCGAAAGGGACAAAACAAAAGCCGCCGTCACGCATGTGACTCAGCCAATTAAAGAGAATTTCTTTCCCTCTTTCCTCCCCTCCACCACACCGGCCAGGAGTGAGGTCGTTTCATGTCTTTGAGGCATGTAGGAGGAAACAGGGGAGCCCATACACAATAGTGACACAGTGTCAGAAAAGTTTTTCCACCCGGCGGGAACAATTATCGGATTTTTAAAAGTGTATTTTTAATCTCAAGCACAATCGAAGACCTCTTCTGTACTTTCCTGCCTCACTGAATCAGTGCAATACCCGCATTCAGAGGCTGCCTCTTCCTTTTCTATAATGATGCAAGGAAGAGTGGAAAATTTCCAAGGTCTGGTTGGAAAAAAGGTGGCACAAAATGCACGTGGCCTTCGATAGAAATACCTGGATCAAGTTGGGGAAAATGCTTAAGAACGCTCTTCTTTGAATCTGCCAAAGCACCCATCAAAAACAACCTTCCTCTGTAACGTTCAACCTATAAAGCTCTGGAAGTGCTCCCTCTTTAGAGCATTTCTGCACTGCAGCCTTAAACCAGCTGCAAAGAAAATTGGCTTAAATCTCTTTTTTAGATTTCAAGCATTCCTGTATTTTGATCACAAAAATACACTTTGGTTCTGTCTGGACCAGGCTTACTCGCTTGTTTCTTCAACCCCTGCCGCTGGTGCAGAGGAAGCGAGCGCCAATCACTTTGGTTTTAGGTTTGTTGGATTCACTTGACAGATCAGGAGGTGCTCAGGGTCTGTACCTGGAATTGATGGCAAAAAGTAGAGTTGGTGTTATGGGTGGTGTGGGAAGCCAAGAATGAAATATTTTGGGGGATATTAAAAAGGAAGGATAGAATATTTCCTCTAGAGGAGAAATGGGAAAAAAAAACCCTTAAGGGAGGCAGAAACCAGCCCCAGTTTCTCTACCCCAAGCAGAAACTGAGGAGGCCAGCTTTTAGAAATGCAGATTTGGTAATCCATTCAGAAAGACTAGGTCAGGCAGAAACTTAGTTAAGCAACAAAGGTTGACAAATTAGCTCAGACAAACACCTAGGATTTGCATTTCCCCTTTTGCCTACTGAACCAGCCATGACCCCTACTTCACATTCTGTTAAGGAGATAGGCAATATGGAGTCCTTTGAGCTCCAATATGCAGATAAATAATTCTTTTGTGCTCAGTGACTGCTATCCTGCCCCTTGTGCCTTTGATTATTGTTTTTAAAGAAATATGTAGGAATTAATATGCTGTGAATTAAAATGCCAATTTCCAGGATGATCTTAATTTCCAAGAAATGACACCGGGCTTTATATAGACCTGATAACCTGATTGATTAAATGCTGGAACATCAGTACTAATTCTTAGTAACCATATAGTTGCTGTTCTCAGGAAGTTCTATCCCCAGCCTGGCCCTTTATAGTTCCTAGAGTGTACCTATCACGTATCCATCCATCCATGTTGTTGCTGATTGACTTCTTCCATCGTTCTCATCGTTCTTGGGCTTCTCAAAAGAGATGTGTGTCATATAATGTATCCAAAATTTGGCTTGTATAACAAATCAATGTAGAGTTCTCACTTGAGACACAAATGATCAGGATCAAGCTATCTTAAGTTTTTTTTTTTGTTTTCTTTGCTGTCCATGGTATTCTCAAGAGTCTTCTCAAATATTAAAGCTCAAAAACATCAATGCTTGGAAGAACCAGGATAGATTCTTCCAAGTCCAATTTCTATTTGAAATTGAGGACGGGTTTTGGAACCCTGAGAGGTGGTTTGCAAAAAACCAACGGCTTTGGGGTTTTTTAGATAAATCTTTAAGTTCTATTTTAAGGGGTTCTGGGAGGGATTGTGGGAATGGATCTGGGGGGATCCATAAATCCACTGAAAGGGGTAATGGGTCTGATAATCATGGTGGGGAGGATGGGGACAGAAATCTGACAAGGATGCAGGGGGATGAAGCGATGGGCATTAGTATAGTAAGTGGGAGGGGCAGATATGACGGCTGCAGGGGGCCATATTATGTTTCGGGAGTGCACACTCGTTGTTTACGAGCGATTGCTCACTCCGACCCCCAAAGCACTGCTCGTTTCCCAGGTTGTTCAGAGTCTCAGACCCTGGGTCTACGGCTGATGTTATGTAATGCCAGGTCAGTGGTAAATAAAGCCCCCCTCATTCATGATCTTATTTCAGAGGGGGGGTGCTGACCTGGCAGGGATTACGGAGACCTGGTTAGGCCAGGAGGGAGGAGTTCCCCTTGTGGAAATGTGCCCGCCAGGTTTCCGTGCATTCCATCAGCCAAGGACTCAGGGAAGGGGTGGGGGAGTGGCAGCAATCATTAGAGAAAGTCTTTGCCCGAGGGAGGCCACTGTTCCTCAGATAGCCGGATGTGAGTCCCTCCTTGTGAAGTGGGGTCAGGGGATTCAGATGGGCCTACTGATTGCGTACCTGGCTCCCTGCCACGTAACAGCGGTCCTGCCTGAGCTGCTCGACATTATAGCCGGTGTGGCGGTAGAAACCCCCAGACTTATTGTTATGGGGGATTTTAACCTGCTATGCGCTGGTGAGATGTCGGAGACGGCTCGGGACTTCATGGCTTCCATGACAGCCATGGACCTGACCCAGGTAGTTCAAGGCCCCACCCACTTGGGGAATCACACTCTGGACTTGATTTTTGTCTCTGATCAGTGGCTGAATGATCTAAGAATAGGGGATATAGACATCAAGCCCTTGTCGTGATCTGATCATTCTCTCCTTCACATGGACTTTCAAGTCACTTCCACCCACCGCAGGGAGACGTAACCAACCAAATGGTTCCGTCCCAGGCGCCTGATGGACCCCGAAAGGTTCCTGATGGAGCTTGGGCCATTTCCTGAGACTCTGGCTCACAACTCGACTGAGGACCTGGTGGTCGCCTGGGACAGGGCGGCTACTGGGGCCTTGGACCGCGTCGTGCCTTTGCGGCCTCTGACCCGATGCCGATCTCGTCTAGCTCCTTGGTTTTCCGAGGAGCTGAGAGAGATGAAGCGTTGGAAAAGACACCTGGAGAGCGATTGGAGGACAAGCCGATCTGAATCTGACCGAACACAGGTGAGATCTTATATTAAGACCTACCTAGTGGCGATAAGAGCAGCGAAGTCTAGCTACTTCTCCGCTCTTATTGCATTTGCAGAGAACCGCCCAGCTGCGCTGTTTAGGGTGACCCGCTCCCTACTTCAGGTGGGGGTACGGGAAGATCCCTTAAAGGGTCGAGCTGAAGATTTTGTACAATTCCTGCATGATAAAGTCGCTCAGATTCGGGAAGGCCTGGACTCCGATTGGGTAGATCCAGGGGAGGAGACGGGGGCAGGTCTTGAGAGCATTATCTGGGAAGAGTTTGACTCTGTGGCTCCTGAGGACGTGGACAGGATTCTGGGCAAGCTTAATGCTGCCACATGTTTATTGGACTCGTGTCCCTCCTGGCTGGTACTGGCCTCCCGGGAGGTTACACGAGGCTGGCTCCAGGGGATTATAAATGCTTCTCTGAGTGAGGGTGTCTTTCCCGCCGCCTTGAAAGAGGCGGTTGTGAAGCCCCTCCTCAAGAAGCCTTCCCTGGACCCGGCTATATTATCAAATTATCGTCCAGTCTCCAATCTTCGCTTTGTTGCGAAGGTTGTTGAGAGTGTGGTGGCGCGACAACTACCCCGATACCTGGATGAAGTTGTCTATCTGGATCCGTTCCAGTCGGGCTTCAGGTCACGATACAGCACGGAAACGGCATTGGTCGCATTGGTGGATGATCTCTGGAGGGCTCGGGACAGAGGTTGCTCCTCTATCCTGGTCCTATTAGATCTCTCAGCAGCTTTTGATACCATCGACCATGGTATCTTACTGCACCGGCTGGAGGGGTTAGGAATAGGGGGCATCGTGCTTCAGTGGTTCTCCTCCTTCCTCTCTGACCGTTCGCAGTTTGTGTTGGCAGGGGGGGAGAGGTCGACCTCGAGGCACCTTATTTGTGGGGTGCCGCAAGGGTCAGTCCTCTCACCCCTTCTGTTCAACATTTATGTAAAACCGCTAGGCGAGATCATCCGTGGTTTTGGGGTGAGTGTTCATCAGTATGCTGATGACACACAGCTATACATCTCCACCCCAGACCACCCCAATGATGCCCTTGCTGTGATGTCCCGTTGCCTGGAGGCCGTGCGGATCTGGATGGGGAGAAACAAGCTCAGACTCAACCCCTCCAAAACAGAGTGGCTGTGGCTTCCGGCGTCCCGGTATAGTCAGCTAGTACCATCACTGACAATAGGGGATGAGATCTTGCTCCCCACAGAGAGGGCCCGCAACTTGGGTGTCCTCCTGGATTCACGGTTATCTTTAGAAGATCATTTGACGGCCGTGGCCAGGGGTGCCTTTTATCAGGTTCGCCTGATCCACCAGTTGCGTCCCTTTCTGGATCGGGACGCCTTGCGCACGGTCACTCATGCCCTAGTTACCTCCCGTATGGACTACTGTAATGCTCTCTACATGGGGCTCCCCTTGAAAAGCACCCGGAGGCTCCAACTGGTCCAGAACGTAGCCGCGCGGGTGATTATGGGCGCAGCTCGTTATGCCCATGTAACACCTCTCCTACACGAGCTGCACTGGCTCCCGGTGGTCTTCCGGGTGCGATTCAAGGTGTTAGTTATCACCTTTAAAGCGCTCCATGGCTTAGGACCTGGGTACCTACGAGACCGTCTTTTGCCACCAATAGCCTCCCACCGACCAGTTCGTTCTCACAGGGAGGGACTACTCAGGGTACCGTCAGTCAAATTATGTCGACTGGCGACTCCCAGGGGGAGGGCCTTCTCTGTGGGGGCTCCAACCCTTTGGAATGAACTGCCCCCAGAGATACGGAATATCCCTGATCTCCGTGCTTTCCGCCGTGCCCTCAAGACCCTGATGTTCCAACAGGCGGGGCTAAACATACGAACATGTGAATGATTTTTTAAATGTTATCTAATTCTGGGTTTTATTTGATTGACCAAACTAAGTAATAATTTTAATTAGCAATTTTATGATGTTTGTGTGTCTATATTTTTCTTGACTGTACACCGCCTTGAGTCCTATGGGAGAAAGGCGGTATAGAAATATAATAAATAAATAAATAAATAAATAAATAAATAAATAAATAAATAAATAAATAAATAAATAAATAAATAAATAAATATTTCCACAGAGTTTCAGAGGAAAAACTACTGCCTGCTTGGTTCTGATCCTTGTAGGTATGGACACATCATGGCATATGAATATCTTTTCCAATGACTTTATTGCTACCCTAACCCTTTCTGGTTCCTTTATTGTTCATAGTCAGTGTTAAAAAGTACATGCTACCTACCAATTACTTCTTTATTAGCTAGAAGACTAACTGCTGTACCTGTGGTTTTAGGTTTTTTAACATTTTTAGTTCTATTTC